GTCGTGGTTAATGGAGTGCTTCAGTCGTAGTTAATGGGGTGCTGCAGTCGTGGTTAATGGGGGTGCTTCAGTCGTGTTAATGGGGTGCTTCAGTCGTGTTTAATGGGGTGCTGCAGTCGTGGTTAATGGGGTGCTTCAGTCGTGGTTAATGGGGTGCTTGAGTCTGGGTTAATAATGGGATATAATGGGATATGTCAGGAAGAATTAATGGGGTGTCCCGGTCAGATTTAATAGAATACGTCATGCAGTAAGGATTAACGAAGTACCAAGATTAGGATTAAGGATTTGTGGGATGCCTGGGTTAGATTTAATAAGTATTTCTTTTAGGATTAGTGGGATTACCTCAGATTTAATACAACACGTCACTGGGTTAATGGAGGGTGTTACTGATTGTTTTGGTAGTGAAGAGAGAGAGAGAGAGAGAGAGAGAGAGAGAGAGAGAGAGAGAGAGAGAGAGAGAGAGAGAGAGTGTTACCTCAGAAAAGAGTTAGAATACGGGATAATATCAGTGTGGTGGTGGTGTTTGTGAAGCAATTTCTGCATATTGCAATTCCCATGTAATTATCCATATTTACCCCCCCCCCTTTAGTAATAATGGCATTGTTATTGCCTCTCTCCCTCCCTCCACACCACACCCATTACTGGTACATAATGGTGGTGGTTGTATTGGTGGGGTTAATTGGGGTGGTGACGTTAATTGTGGTGGTTGAGAGTGTGTGGTGGCTATAGAACTAGTTGTAGTGATGGAACGTGTTGTAGGTAATGTTATAGTTGTAGGTGTGATGAGTTGGTTTTGGTGGCAGTGGCTGTGGTGAGAGTTGATAGAGGAAGTTGGTTGTAATTAATTAGGGCTTCCAACACTACCATCTACTTGTCCTGCCCACGGTGGTTGCCTGTGTCGTGTCCATGGTTGGTAGTACTGGTATGCACTTAAGAATGTCCTCGTTCGTGTGTACAGGTGGGCATATATGACATCTGGTGTATACATTCTCAACATTCCATCCCACGTCACTGAGAACTTGAGATCGATGGGTCGGTAATAACTAATGAATTCACTCGTCGATCGTAGTCAAAGTGCATTTTAGGGGCTGAAACATCGGTTAGTAAATGGTGTGGCTTGGTTACCGGATATTAAACTTTTAACATTGTACTTTGCTTTGAGTTTTTGTATGCGTAAAGGTTTTATTAATGTGATGTATCTTTGTAATACCGGACATGAGACTTTGCTGTATTACTCGAGTGTTTCCTGCTTATAAAGTACGAGATTTTAATTTTTACAACGATTTATTAAATTGGAGGGTATTTTGTGTTTGTTGTTATTTACAATAATAGTTTCAAACTACAGTAAAGGTTGTAATATCTCTCTCTCTCTCTCTCTCTCTCTCTCTCTCTCTCTCTCTCTCTCTCTCTCATTCATATATTCAATCACTCACTTTATAAGAATAATATTTGAAGTCTATAAACGAGTGCCTCCGATATTAAACCTGTTTTGAATATAAGAGTAAGGATAAATATCATATATATCGAGTATAAAACTCTCAGCCTCATGCACTGTGAGACAGCAGAAGAAGGTTTATGATAGTGAACCGTGAGCAAAGTTGGCCATTGACCTCTATAGTATTTCTCCCGACATTAGTTCCCCCAGGCAACGTCGACGCTGGCAAGAGGGTGGTGGCGGGGCGGTGTAAGGGGATTACTCTGGAGACTGACTGTGATTGTCTGATACTTCGTGCGAGTTATGTTTTTCTCGGTTCATTTCACACTACGAGGAAACAATACGTTGGAATTTATGATGGAGCAGGGAATACCTCGTGAGATATTTTGTCACTATTGAAGAAGTTAGATGGTTAGGCAGGTGTGTTGTGTTGTATTGTTCTCTGGTAATGGTGATTTATATAAGTTTCTTTCTTTTAGTAAATATAGACTGATTATATATAGACAAGATGTAGGTAATTATAATACAAACTGTATAAATAGCATAATTATTAACCTAATATAATTCAACGTAACCTTACTTAATTTTGCTACAGTTTGGTTATCTTTTCAACTTAATTTACGTTTTAGTGAAACAGCAAATGTAACTCTGTGGAATAATTACTATACTTTGTGAAATAATTATCATTAATGTATATTTATAAAACCAGATAGTTATACCTGTTTGAAAAAAATCAGTCAGATTAATCGTGTGTGTGTGGGAGGGGGGGGATGGAAACAACAGGTTAGAAGGCCTTTTGTAAACCGAATCAAAATAGTTTTACCTTACTGTGTATATAAATTAATTAATATTTATCTCGATCCTATTTAGTGTACAGGTGATTACATATTTTACCACAGTAGTCTGACCAGTAATGTATCTGATACACTCCAGTTATTGTCCACAACTCAGTAATGAGGGTCATGCCACCGGTCTTACTGATGGCAGGTGTTGTGTCTGACCTTCAGCCCTACAGCAGGTGTTGAAGGGAGGCTGTGATAGATGTAAAGACTACGACATTTAATATTATCAGTTGGCCTATAAAACTAAAAAACCCAGCACTTGAATATTTACATAATATTGTTATGGTTGAACTTAGAGAGGTAAATTGTGTTTGATGTTCTCTGGTTTGAAATAATTTTGATAGTTTTATTTACTTAACAAATTACACTGATAGGATTGGGATTACTGTACTGATTGGTTGGATACACCACAATTATTGAACTCATTTGGTCGACGTCCCAGCGGCTTACATTACAAGGTCGTCAGAATAATTGGCTTTGCTTGACTGGCGGACCTTGCAGTCACTTGCCTAAAACCACCCAACCCTGGGACTACTTCCGCTCGCTACTGTTACCCACACCAGTGTTTTAAGTTACGTTACCGGGATATTAAATTAATCTTGAACTCTAGTGCTTGAACATAGAAGAGACTGGTTTTACACACAACACTGACGTTCTTATCATGTATTATTTATATCATCAGCTCCCAGATCTCGACTCTTACCAATGCTTAAGTAGTATATTGTTGGCGCGTTGGTTCATGAAAGTTGACAAGCGAGTGAACGTGAAAGGAAATAGCTGAGTACATGTAAATAAACAATTGAATAGCGTCTTTCTAGCTGTGTAATATAGTTTTGTTGATTACTATGAACATTAATCGTGATACACAAAATATTTACCCTTGTTTTATATCACTTATGAAACATCTAATATATGTAAAATAGTTTGTAACATTTGTGTAGGGTGATTACTGATTTAGTCTCTATAGTGATTTGTATTTTAGGTGATTTGACCCTTGTATGGAGAAGGATATTATTGATGGACTTGGATCAGGTGTAACCTTGTCAACTTAGATCAGGTTTAACATGCCTTGGTTCAGGTGATTATGACAAGATATATAACGTGTTGAGTATGCAAACTAAGGGAACTTATTTTGCGTACACAAAGACTTTATTAAGTTGTCCAGCATGTGGCAACGATTGTTCAGTGCGGAATCTAGTAGCTACTTGTTCAGTCTTAAGGTACTGTTCTTCACGTTCCTTCATGTAGTGATAGATTTAACAGTGTAGTTATTGAACCTGTAACAGTGACCATATAGTTCCTCACACACACGTACACGAACACTCTAAAAGATGAATTGCACTATGAACAGTGTATCTATAAATGTCTTTCTTGGTGCTTGTGCATGTAGCTTAGTATATGCTTAAAGTTCGTTAGTTTGAATGTAGCTTGTCAGTACTTCATTTAGTTATAGGAAATTAAAATGCTAGAGAACGAATTAGCCTATGCTTATCTATGGGTGATGGTAAGTGTTACACAGCTTATATACAGTACAAAGGGCTTCGGAAACTCGCTCGCCCGCACTCCCGTGGCGAGTGAATAACCCATGGGGGCAAGTTAAATTTTATATTTATTAGTGTGTCGGGCGCGTGATAATTTTGATGCATGCGAAAGTGAGTGTCGAACATTGTTTAGCTATAAACAAAAAAGAATTAAATATTTTTTCAATTAAAATAATAGAAAACTATCTCGAAAGCAAATGCATTTTTATAACGACTCTTATTATTTATAATAGATATGAGTGCAGTAATGGCGTATCGAACTACTGTAGTTTTAACTGTACTCAGTAGTTTTAATGATTACTGTTGTTACTTCTAATTCCAATAAATTCGTTCATTCATTTACTGATATTTTAAAATTTAACTTTCATTAAATGAATTCGAATGTTAGACACAGGGTATTCCCAACATTTGGACAATATTTCGGGTTTGTAAAAATTTGTGTAGGCTAGTGGAAAATTAATAGATTCATCAGGCCTGATGTAGCATTCTTCTATATACTGTTAACGATGTAGTGAATGTTATGGGGTATATAATATAATTTTGGGGGCTATTATGTACAGTATATGGTAATGTTTGTGCCCGTTCCTTCTATCACTGGCTGGCCTGTGAGGACGAGGTAGATGATCATGCCTATGACGGTGTTGTGCTGAATGAACCGCTTTTTTACGTAGCCAAGAGCTTTGCATGGTGTTAGTGTGTAGTCAAGCTGTTGTATGACTTGCTCCCATCTCTATAGTACTTGTTTCTTCTGGATGCCTCGACATGTTGTAGCAAAGTTTTTCTTTTAATTACCGGTGTTATTATTATTATTATTATTATTATTATTATTATTATTATTATTATTCTCTTGGCCAGTCTTTATAAGTATTTTCCTTATATACAAGACGAAGCCTTAAAATCAAGGATTCTTTCCACCTATAAAGACGTTGATGTTCTTCTGTGTCTGTTTTGGACAATCTTTTATTGTGTACGTCTTGTGTGAAGGTGTTAGGTATTGTTGTCATATTGGTCACCTGTTGTAATTAATTAAGGTGTGTGTTAGTGTGTGTGTGTGTCTCTCTCTCTCTCTCTCTCTCTCTCTCTCTCTCTCTCTCTCTCTCTCTCTCTCTCTCTCTCTCTCTCTCTGTATGTATATATTGGAAATGTTTGTTGTGTGTAGTAGGAATTAAATAAAACAACACGATTCATTAACCATTTATCAATTTGACATTCGTTTTAGTGTTATTGAAGTGGCATCATCGGCCTAGCCCAGGCCGTAGGCAGCGGCGAGGGCCACCCTAGAGCCTGTTTTACACCCAAAAGTAATATTTTCACACATAGAAATTATTTTCAAGGCTTCAACAAGAACAGCGATAACAACATGTATTCTTTACAGTGGTGTCGTAGCATATGTATTTATTTATATACGGTATGTATATGCATGTATACAGACTATAGAAGCTACGGCCACTGAACAACCACCAACACCAATCTTGACGCAGACAAGACGGCCAGGTCCAACATCTTCCAGCTTGGGTTTTTTATTGGTAAACTTTACAAACGACTTTTATGGGAGTGATTTCGTTTTTTACAGTACTCGTGTATATATATATATATATATATATATATATATATATATATATATATATATATATATATATATATATATATATATATCAAAATGGGACTTCAGTTGAGCAAGAGTTGGTGATTGTGTTAGCGACCTTACAGTTTTCCTACGACACAGACAGGGAAGCAAAGATAAAGTTAATTAGTCACCAGCCAAGTGGCAGCTGGTAGTGACGTGCCGCTGGCCAGGGGGCGGAGCTCCAGTAGCAGCGGGGCAGTGACTCGCTCCCTTAGGAACTAATGCTAAGTGTATTATGATACAGGCTATGGAGAGAGCGTGTCTCGTGTGATGAATTGTTGCCAGTAGGAAGACATCTCAAGTTAGAGTAAGAGTACTGCAACAACTTGTAACCTCAACCTTCATTAACTATAAAGTGTAGTCGGCAGCCGAGAAGCCTGAGAGTGGGTTGTGCCCTCGCAGCTGCTGCACTGTAAATCACATGATTTTTAACAACTAGCTACTTCTCTTGTGTGACCCATAAAGAACAGCTTGTTAGAGGTAATAACACTACGTTACAATTGCCTCCATATTTCGCTTTCTAATCATTATTGGTTCTGTGTCCTTCATTCTTGGTAGAACCAATTGGTCCCCTGCTCTCCCAGCTGCAACAGGTGCTCCACCCTCAAGCCACTTGGTGTTTATCCCCCCAAATATTTATTCTGGTCGATATTCAACGACAGATTTTGGAAATTTTGACGAGTGATTGTTCAGAAAATGATAAGAGTGTAGATGTGGAAAGAGAGGGCTCTATGTATAACAGTGACAGGGTACAGGACGACACTGGCGACAAGCGGCAGAGTTTAGGAGCGGCCAAGGCCAGAACAACATCTTAAAGAAAACACCGAACACGGTTGTGAAGACTCGAAGGCCGCACCTCTGGCGATGTCGGCTATTACTGACATTACCATCGCCCGGCCTACATATCCGGATACCCTTGGGTGCTTCAACTACCCAGTAGAAACACTTGTTACTTATTGGCATGTCCTCACCCGGGGAGGTATTGGTAGACCACCGGAGTACATGAAGTTCGCAGTAAAAGCGTTACTCTCCTGGAGATGTTACTGGGCCCATGAAAGTGGTTAAGCACCCCTTGGCAGCTGACAGTGGTGTGGTAGCCTGTTGAGGTGCAGCTTCAGGAGTTGGCCTCCCTCGTGGTGCCCCTGGGCCGCCCAGCACCACCACTCCTGGCTCAGGTGGGAAGCTTGCCAGTAACTTGTGTCTTAGGGGTGTGTATTTTGATCCATTGTTACTTCTGAAGACACTTAAAGCTGGTGCTCGCCGACTGTGCCCGCCAGCGAGTCCGTCCTAAGGCTGAGTTTAGGGGACGCACTCAGAAGGCAGTTTACATTCAGTACCATTATGCCATACTATTACGTTTTGTTGATACCGCTTACACTTACTGATGGAGGGTACCCGGCAGCCCTATAATTGTTGAGTTGTTTTCTATAGTCGATATAAAGTATTTACTCTAAGTGTTCTTTCTTCAACGGGAAGTTACAAAGACTGTGAAAAGTGCTCCCAATGAAGTTAAACAGACCGAAAAATGAGCCGTTTACACACAGGTTTACACAATGTAGAATGCCGGGCGACTTCACCGGATAGAAAGATACGGATAATTTTTGTTGCCCACGAGTACAATGTCCATAAAGTGTTGATGGTGAGCGCGGGGTGGAAGGACCTCTCGCGTGTGTCTGATTCATGATGACTGGAAGATTGTCAACACATAATAAACTTCAAGGTGGGTCGATAAGACGGGCTGTTAGTCTCTCTCTCTGTCATATAAATAAGGTACTCGTATACCTGTATAGCCTATTGCGACGAGTTGTGAAGAAGTAATAGATGCAGATGGTAACTCAGCTATTAGCTTACGTAGTGGAATAAAAGGAAAATTTTAACACATACATGAGAGGCTAGAGAGAGTTGAAGCTAAGTGCAGGCCAATATGGGTTATGTCTATTGGTTTATATAGTATACTTGCTGGTATACTCGTGGTCTGTGACGTATGATGAATTGACGTTGTATATCTCTCGTAAAACTCTATGTAGTATAACAGTATAAATTATATATCTTTACATTTAAGTATAACAATATAGAACATATGACGTTAAAATAAGAAACATTGTTCTCTCTTATCTTGAAAATAAAGATTTTCCCAGGTGTTAAGTGACGTCAGAATCAACTTTCATTATCATACTAATAATAGTGGAGGCGGTGTTACTGGTTCACCTTTATGATGATTTCAGTATTGTCATTTGAATATTTCTTAGTTATTTAGATTTATTGATTGAACAGTAGAGTAAATTGGTTGGTGTTTTGTGCGGCGAATTGTGCGCCAAGTCATAACTGTTATATTTGTGTTTTTGTGCGGTATCCCGATTCACCTGTTAAAACGTTTTACCATGAGTTTTCTGGGTGAGTTAATAAATATATAAATGGCTTTTCTGCATGTTTAGCAAAAGATGTAAATACAACCATCCTTACAGCCATAATTATCCGCCATAAAGAGTTGACCGACCCACCTTTTTTTTTCCAAAGTTGATGCGAGAGGCACACAAACTCCATTGTTTTAGTCAAATGCTAGAGTGGTGTGTGTGGATAGTGACGGACGAGTCTTTGTTTTTGAGGGTAGTGAGGTGCCTTTACTGGCCTGGGTGTTGGGGCTGAAGTTAGTAGAGGCAGGAAGTTGAAGACCCCCCCCTCCTCCCCCAGCACCACCCACACCTCTACTACCCACAACACTAAAGTAGTCCACTCATCAACTCCTTGTTACAGACGCACCTGCACCTCTACCAGTGCTGTGGCTCAACATAACATGGTCATTTACTCGCTGGATTCACAGCTGATGGCACAGGTGTTGTGTAACACGATTCATTACATCCGTTATGAAATGCCCTCCTTGGTCAGCTGGTTAATAACAGACAGAACTTGTAAATTAATAAAGAAATGTTTACAGCAAAACTGCTAATACTCTCGCATTAATGTAAAGTATTATCCAACCTTAATTGGCAGCAGGACGCAGCCCATTTGAAATACAGTTGTTGTTCTCATGGTTCTTCCAGCTAGCTGTACATTAAAACAACACCACAGTTTTAGGGACAATAACTTAGGTAAGTATTCTAGTTATGGAAGATTTATTCGAGCATTTGAGTTTAATTTCTAGTGCTGTTAAGTCTTGGCGTTTAACCTTTGGTTTTGTAATATGTTACGGTTTGTTTGGGTTGTTTGTGTAAGTGTTTTGTTTCGGAATGTGTTTGTATGATACAACCAAGAAAAGTAGACAACAGAGTTCTCTCCTAACATTATTCAAACAACACAGTCATCCACACGTTCCACGTGAGTGACAACATTACTCAAGCATTAACTAGTACAGAGATTACATATTTCTTATTAGCAGCAAGTACACTTCCCAGTAAATACTTAATGTTTAGTCATATTTTATCCATAGATGGTACTTCGGTGGTTTCTGAAGATCCCGGTGTACAAATACTGAATATTATCGGAGTATTGTGAAATTGTTACTCCGAGACGTGTCTCAGGAAATGTATCTCATCGGCACAGAAGACATGTTCCTTGATTTCATTCTCAGTGGAACACACACGTTTAATTTACTTTAAAAATGGCAAAGTTTATACAGGTATATGTATATAAGCATTTAGAAATGTTCCTACTGTCTTATACTGCACGTCTTCAGATAATGAAACCATCATGGGAAGCCAGGCGGCTAGATTATACAAACTTAAGGCTTTATATATTTCCTGCGCCTTGAAACAATATCATAAATCTTTACACAGCACGTAACAAACACATCATTATTTAGATTATAGTATCAGACAAGAGTGGGAGTTGACAGTTTGGTGTCTAACTCTAGTTGTATAGAAATGTTATTGTAGTTACCGGTACATTTACTATGGTATGACGTATCTGTCAGTTAATGTTCTGAATATGTAGTTTTCATCATGATCCTCTAAGCATGCTCGTTCATATAATTACAGGAGAAATGGACTTATTATGATTCGCTGGGTAGTGCATGGCGGCCGGTGATTGGTTGAGGTTAGTCACTTAACCAATCATCGGTGGCAATGAAGTACCTAGCTGGGGCGAAGGAACTGACCTCCCTATTAATTACTACTATTGGACATGAAGATGTGTTTAGTGGGATCCCGGGAATGAGTGCCGAGCCCCAGGCATTGACTGGCATGATTTAAGTGCTGTTAGGCACAAGGGGCTCTAGGATCTTAACAGAGACGCGTGCTGAGGTGTGAATACCAGTGTTGGGGAAGGCGATGCGACCGTTCTGCCGGAACTGGGAATACTGCACCTCCCGGATGGTCTTGAAGGTGTGTCGCCCGAAGATCTTGGCAGAGAAGATGCCTGTAGACACACCGGTAAATATGATCATTTTGTAATGAATGAAACTACACATACAATAGGTTAGCTATTAGTGAAGTCTATCCCTACTTACTTGTATGTTAGTTGGAGTTAAGGACGGGGTTGAGCGTTATTTACGAGCATATGTACAGGACATTGAGAACAGAGAGGAAGAGCGCTCACCTGTAGTTTCGGCGACGAGGCAGGTAAAGCCCTGGGTCCTTGCAACGTTACAGCTCTGCTGGACTAGCATAGAGGCGATGCCGCGCCCGCCGTATGACTTGTCCACATTCAACAGCTCGAAGTTGAAGAACTGTACACGGGAAAACACTTGTCACTTCATCAGGATCAAGACATCAGGATCAAGATTATGTGCGGTAATACTGTAAGATTATTAGGTTAAAGTAAGGTTTTGTAGAGGAAGGTGAAGTGTTTAACTCTCTAGCTACTAAGAGCTCCCCTGAGCTGTATAAAATCGTTTGGCGTTGGTCAGATTAATATCCTTGAAGTTGTTCATTACGGTTAGAGGGTTAAGGCTGGAAAATATCTTATTAGGGTTTAAAAATTCTTTGACTTTCTCTATGGCTTATATTTTCTTGTTGACTTCGGACTTAATGTATATTCTATGTCACTGAATAAAGTTCGGTACCTTTTCGACGCTATATTGGCTGAAGAAGTCTATGTCGCTGGCGAGTTGCGTGAGGAAGGAAATGATCTTGAACATCTTAGGATCCTTCTTAGGGTCGATCCAGGCGAGGAAATCGTCAGGCCCTGGGGCGTCGCCACGCCTCTTGATGCTATTGATGGCCACACCCACCAGCCGCCCGTTAGCTGATTCATCTATCGCCATCACCGACACCCCGTGACTGATCTGTAGGAGGGAAATCACCAGATCCCCTTCAGGAGGACAGCGGGAGAAATTGAGGCACTTGAAGATAAATTGAGGGATCAGTGTGAGACTAGTTTAGGCACAGTATGATGAGGGAGAAGTGCCTCAAGGATCACAGGTGGTAAGAAGGTAATCACTAAACTTTATAATTGAAAATAAAATAAAACTTGCGAGAAGTTTTAAAATAAAATATCTAGAGGAGGCCATGACAAAGTGAAGACATCAGACTTAGCCTCTTGGTGGTAAGCTTGAACACAGATTTATTGGGCTGGAAAAGTGGCGAATGGAAGACTAGCTATGAGGGCAACTTGTAGCTATGGTGAAACAGCAATTGAAAGTTTGTAAAAGGCTATGTTGACGTTCTTATGATGACAGTGGACTTAATACCAGGAAAGGAATATTGACCTTAGTATTAAAACGATTACCATAGCATTGGTGGTTACATAACGCAAATTTAATTACAACAACACATAATGCATTAATATCCAGGTAGCAGTGTGTGGTCGAGAGCGAGAAGCCTGTATTGATTGATAAATTAAAGTTGCTAACAAGAAATGTATTCTAAGTTCTGATTCTGAGGAGATGAAAAGAGCGGCACTCTTATGAAGGTCTTGTGTTGAGCTAGCAGGAAAGTCTTAATGGATCTTATTAATTACTGGAGTCTGAAGGTTGAGCTGGTGGAAAGTGTTAAGTCTTAGCTGTTGGACTAAATGTTAACGGGAAAACTTGACTGGTTGCCATTTCGGTACTTTGCAGTCTCCAAAATGGGTCATAAAATAAATTAATAAATATTGATAATGACATGTTGAGTGTTTACTTACCATGTGAGGCAAGACCTTAGAGAGCCAGTGGTCGACCTCCCTCGGGCTGTCGAGATAGAGTGCCTTCCCCAGGGGCTCGTCCTTGAAGAAATGATTACACAGAAGGTCGACGGCTGCGTCGCTGTACTCTTGCGTCAGTACCTGGGAACAGGAGAGTAGATTAACAGGATGTCTTCACCAGTCTCTCGTCCCCAGTTTTCTTACTGGCCTCTCGTATATGGTGACAACACTGCTGCAGAGTTTGTCTATGAAACAAAGTTGCTCATGTGAATAGTGTGGCAGTTCATCTATAAATGTCTCTGAAATGTTATCGATCTGGAAAATTGCTGAAACTTGTTAACAAAAACAGTTTGTGCCACAATATACTGCTGTGTAATGTAGCGTTAGATGCTTGTGTGTCTCCCGTCCAAATTATATTAAAGAAACATACCCCAGCTACAGAAGCAGCTTAGTCAATTAACGAGTGTTTCCAAGTTACTTGGCTAACTAGGTGTATTGTATGTAAATTTATGCAAAACGGCATCAGCTTGAATGTTCATGCAAGATAAGGCCAAGAGCGAGACTGCAATCGAATACTGCTGTTATTTACACTGTTCATCGCAGGGCTGGAGTTTAGGGTATCGTGATTTGGGTAGCTTGCTGCTGTGATTCTACATCTGTTAAACACAAAAGTCAGTATTTTATCCATTGCCTCTAGGCTCATTTCTTGAGATCTATATTAATTCGAGGAGGAATTTATTATTATTATTATTATTATTATTATTATTGTAATCTGTAACAGTGGGCAGTTAGAGCATTGTTCTCATTAAGCTTATTTTTAACTACTGTGTGCTATTTCATCGGTTATGCTGCAGCCAAGTGAATACAGAGGAGGTAATAGTTAATGGGTACCTAACTTTACAGTTGGAGAAGTGAATACGATCGAGTTTAGTGGTGACTACGCTGCCCCCCTGTGCCCCCAAGGCTTAGTGCAATTTCAGTATTTCATCTTGTTTTAGGTCAGACTTTTCTAGCTTGAGCACATTAGTGGACAGTTTGTGACCTGGAGCCAAGTCATTTATGATGATAGAGAGAGAGAGAGAGAGCATTTTGCTTTATACTCCCTGGCATTCCTCTTTTAAAGACTTAAATCCGGTTGTTGCTTAATGAAAAACTGACATTTGAAGAGATTTCTTATTTCTTATGTGAAGTTGGCAATTAAATTAGGATTTATTTCTGACTCCATAGACCCTACCTTCCGGTGGCTCTCTCTTTTACAAGTGAGTTTGGCTTGATAAACTGTACGTTCTCTTTAATTATTGAAATTGTTTACTTTTACTATCGTATTTAATATTTTTTAATATTTAACAGTGTTGATTTTAATTAATGAAAACAAGGCTTTAGCGTACAAGAAGAATTATTTTGATATTACCATCAGTAACATGCGGAGTAACTCACCTTAAACACGATATTTTCATCGTGTTTGTGAAGAACATCAGGTGGCAGTTCAGGCTCGCTGGGCAGCTCTGGCTCCTCTGGCTCCACCTGCTGCTGTTCCTGCTTTTGCTGACTCTGCTCTAGCTGCTGCTGTGCCTCCTGCCCAGCGGTAGTCTGAGCCAGGGGGTCTTCCTCCCCAGGGGCACTACCTTCACTGCCTTCCCCACTGGCTCCATCCTTACGGCGTGTCCCCAAGGGCGCTGGGGGAGAGAGAGGGTGGCTGTTAAGTGGGTGTGTCTGCAACAATATGTTATTCACGTGACATGACTCCATATAGCACTGTTGTATAGGTGGTGATCTATGGTGTTAGTAATGTGAGACGGTAAGTAATGAAAATGTCAACAAGAAGTACCTGAAGAATAGAGATTTCATATAGTTTTGGAGGGTTAGTGTGTTATGCAGTTGTGGTGTACGTGCATCATGCCGGGTGTCAATATTCGGTTAGACAGGCAATGCCACAGTGCTCCACACCAGGACTGTGGGCGTCATTACTACTGGTGAGGAGTAGCGTCTTATAGATCAGTTCCCTCCTGTCAGCCCAGGACCACCACAGAAAATGTACGTAAACCACACAGGCTATGGGGGAAAACGAGCGTGTTGATCGGGAACTTGTTTACAAGTTGATTTATAAAACAATTGCCCTTCTAAGTTGGTTCTGGGTGAGTCTTCCACCAAACTAATTCAACATAACTCGCTGGAAAGTTGATACATGTCAGACATATAGATTTATTTCTTGTTCTCGTATAAGATGAAACTAAGAATTAGTGGCACAGTGGTGTTATGCTCGAGGAGGTTGTATTACAGAGATCACTTAACAAATGACATGCCTCACCCTAGGATACTAATTAGTGATTTGTTGGGTCATAACAACCACCTCTACTGACCGATGTCACTTGCACAGCTAATTATTATATCATCATCAGCTGAACTCTCTAATTGCCTTATATTTTCCTGAACGTACACAACCAACTCATTAAAGGCAATCTCGGTACAGTAGTATATTTTAATGCGACACAAGAATATGAGATTCAGGTAAAAATTATGCCGTGACTTAGCTAGATGGTGGAATGACTGATAGGCATTAAGTTCTACGGTAGATGTGGATGATTAATGTGTCGTAGTTTTGTACCTTATTTGTCATCTTCTCTGATCCTCTGTTAATGAATGCCTTAAGTGTGGTCTGAGGTATACGTGGCCTAGACAGTGGTTTTAAGAGTCCCTAATTCAACATAGTAACTTAAGGCTATAGTATGAAGGATAAAATTAACTTGAAGAGGTTTTGTAATTTATTCATGAGATTCTGAGAAATTTTCAAGTAATTTAAGGGGAGACGAGACAGGCTTTGTAAAGATAAACAAAAAATGTGGAGGAGATGTAGGTTAGCACAGTGAACATCAGAAGTAAACAAAGAAGCTTACTCAACTCCCTTCAGCCTGTCGTGTTTTAGCACATCTCCACTGCCAATGAAAACCCCCCTCCGTCCTCTACTGCCAGTAAACACAGACTCTGCATGTATCCTGTGTCACGTCATGTCGTCAAAAGCAAAACTTATTGTATTTTTGGGCTCAGTTACAGATTACAAGGCTGTGTGGTTAGTGTGTTTTATTTTACATAATTCCCATTGAAGGATTTGTTGTATATTTGTACAGTCTGATGGATTATTTGTAACTGTTATATCCTGATAGTTGTGAAGAATGGATAGGTGGTATATCGGTTTTATAGTGTGTTTGGTTATTACGGCCGCCTTATACATTAGCCAGTCTCGATAGTAACTTTGTACCGTCCCAGGGAAGAGCTTCTGCTTTCAGAGGTTTAAAATGTTTTGAGCGCGTGAGGGATGATGAACAAATGAAGGTTAAACATAGGTAATGTCTAATTTTGGTGACCTTCGTTTATCCCAGAAATTGAACGAAAGAAGGAAGAAGACATGTTGTAATAAAACAGTATAGAGAGGTGATGGTAACAGGTCAGTATAAACAGTGATGGATGTTTGTCCATAAAAGAGGCAGGTGGTGGAGCGAGGCCGGATGGTGGAGGGGAGGCCGGATGGTGGAGCGAAGGCCGGATGGTGGAGGGGAGGCCAGATGGTGGAGCGAAGGCCAGATGGTGGAGGGGAGGCCGGATGGTGGAGGGGAGGCCGGATGGTGGAGGGGAGGCCGGATGGTGGAGGGGAGGCCAGATGGTGGAGGGGAGGCCAGATGGTGGAGGGGAGGCCAGATGGTGGAGCGAAGGCCAGATGGTGGAGCGAAGGCCGGATGGTGGAGGGGAGGCCGGATGGTGGCTAGAGTCGGAAATCTCTACACAACTTTATAAAGACAATGGCCATCCTAGATACACTGTCTCTCGAGAACTAGTGAAAAAAAGCTACACAATATTGCTATACTTTTAAGAGACCTTTTCAACCTTTGTATCAGAAAATGGAGGCCTTTTACAACTAGGTAAAAATGGATTAAGATTTTCCCCCCTTTTCAAAATAATCCCGTAAACATCGAGTTATTGTACAGGGGCTGTGTGTCCGCCATAGGGAATTATTTGTATATATATATAACTAACAAATGAGATATTACTCGATTGTTTGTATGGAGTGTATTTCGACAAACGCCTTAATCGTAACCGTGTGTGTGTGTGTGGGGTTACAGCCTCTTCAGCATGATTCCCTCAGCAAAACAGATAAATGAAAATAAAAGAAGACGGTTTTAAGGAAATTATTCTTTTTGAAGGAAGTGAATGACTTAAGGGCAGGGAAAAAATTAGCTTGTACAAAAAAGGAAAGTTTGATTGTTTTAATTGGGGAAATATAGAAGTACAAAGCGAGGAAATTAACACGAGAGAGGAAATATGTTGTGTGTGAGAGAGAGAGAGAGAAAGAAAATTTTTGTGGAATGATAAAAAGTGTTGAGGAAGGTGGGTGATACGGCTGTGTTCCCCTCACTGTAATGGACAGTTTTTAGATAGGCGAAAAAATGGTCACATCTCCAGACAAGAAAGAAAAGCTAGGGGCTAAGGATACCACTGTGTGTGTGTGTGTGTGTGTGTGTGTGTGTGTGTGTGTGTGTGTTAAGATAGTAGAGTCTTAACAGGGAAAATGTGTTTAAGAGGAAGGTGGTGTTATTGTTTTGGTAGGAGCGTTGCAGCTGGAAGACTCAGCCGGGAGACATTCAAGTAACTGGAAAATGAGACCTGGGAAGGAGCGGCTGGCTAAATCTTTGTCCAAATTTAAGAATAATGGTACTTGAGGGAGAGAAGAAGAGCAGCAGGGCAGAGGGAGAGAAGGTGGAAAGGAGAAAGGTGATGGAGTGGCAGAAGGGGGAGGGTGGAAGAGACGATGGGAAGGGTGGAAGAGTGGCAGAAGGGTGGAAAGGTGATGGAGTGGCAGAAGGGAGAGAGTGGAGGAGGAAGAAAATCGAGAAGAGGAAGAGGCATAAGGGAACAGTGTCAGAGAGATTAAGGAGAAAGAGAGATTAGAGAACGGAGGAAGAGGAAGGAAAGGAAGTACAGTGAAGGAATAGCCTAGAACAAACAGAAGAATGGAAAAAGAACATGACGATAAAGTTGGCATGGAATGAAAAAAGTGAAGGCCTGAGTCACAGTTGGATAAAAGTGAAGATACTACTGATACGGACTAATGGCAGCAACTAGGAGATAAAAAGATAACAAAAGGAAGACAGAAACGAAAGAAATTTGAACAAGAGAGGAAAAGAAACGAAAAAAAAATTGAACAAGGGTGAAAAAGAAAACCAGGAGAAAGAAAAAGGTGAAAGAAAATTGAATAAAGATTTAACGAAGGGAAAAAAAGATGGAATGTTTACACAGGAGGGTCAAGAGGGCTAACGCGGTGAAAGGCAGAAGGTCATCCCTGGAGGGTAAAAAAATGGGGGGGGGGGCAAAACAAGGTCAGTAAGACACCGTCGGGGCTAACAATAGCAATAATAACATTAGCAACGGGTAGGAGTGTGTAGTAGAGAGACCCAACAGAAGGGAAAGTATCAGTAGAGGCAGTAGCAGTAGGGGGAGACACTGGCAACAGCAGATAGCATCTCATAAAATAGGAACCAACTGTAAGAGCCATTCAGAAGAACAGGAGAGCTGAGATAATGCCGCCAACAGTGGCAGCAACAACAGGTGAATAGACACAATATGAGCTGTGATATCATCAGCAGCAGAGCCAACGGTGGGAGAAGCATCACCCATAACAAGAATTAATACTACCATCACCAGGACCAATGATGCCAGTAACAACAAAACAATAAGAAATAACAGCAGCTGCAGCAGGAGCAGGGGATAGCATTGCCAGCAGCAGCAGCAGCATTAGGGCCAGCGGGAGCAGCAGGCAGGCGGGGAGGAATCAATACGTCGGGTGGAGGTCCCAGCATCGGCGTGTTGCTCTGCCTTAACCAAACTGAGAACTGCTCCCACTGATTTGATGCTTAAGCTTACTCCTCTGTAACCCCCCCTCCACACACACCACACGTCTGGCTCACATACCTATATCAACCTTGTTCAGAAAGTTATAATATGACATGACATGATATCACTGGGTTGTATCTGGAAGTTTTGGGTTGATTAGAATGCTGTATGTGAAGACGGGATGGGTAACAAGATCACTGAAAGAATCTTGTTAACTGTATTATTGTTAGCATTAATAAGGTATCTGATTATGTGTATGTGTGTATGCTGACAGGCGTATGTGTACGTCTGTGGTGGTCAATATTTGTTCGACATGCTTGTGTGTCTGCATGGGAGATCGACACAGAGGTTCGCGTTCATCTGTACTTTACATCTGTGACCAGGAATTGCCTTCATTAAATTAACCAAGACCAACCACCTGCCTGTTCTAAAAGGGACGGGTGATGACCCCAGAGGCCATTCTACACCAATTACTAACTTGTTGAGCGAGTTATATACAGGAAAACTAATTGCGAAGCGGATGATAATTAGAGGAAGTGAACGAGAGAGCACTAACACCTAGATGGGTAATGATGAAGGAAGGCGACTGGTAGAGAGACGGAAGGTTAGGAAGACAGTAAGTGATGCCAGTGAAGAGAGAACAGAACGACCATATAGATAGATAACTGCGTCGATTACCAAAGATTCCCAGCATCGAGAACAGGCATCACCTGTTTATTGATTTCTTGACCCCTTAATAAGTTAACCCTGGACGAGTGGGTAAACAATTGGCTCGTTATCAGTACCCCGTAAG